CCGCAGCCACCGTATTCCCCAGACCTGGCCCCCTGTGACTTTTTCTTGTTCCCGAAACTGAAGAGGCACATGAAAGGACGACGCTACGCTACGATTGAGGAGATAAAGACGGCATCGAAGGAGGAGCTGAACAAGATCACAAAAAATGATTTTTTGAAGTGCTTCGAGGATTGGAAAAAACGTTGGCACAAGTGTATAATATCTGATGGGGATTACTTTGAAGGAGACAAAATAGATATTCATGAATAAATAAATAATTTTTGAAAAAACACAAAATTCGCGATACTTTTTGAACAGACTTCGTACTTCTCTTTTTATCTTTTAGCCAATTCAACATTATTATGAAAAACTTGTTATATATGTTTTCTGTTGTAATAAAATAAAACTCTGTACCAATCACTTCTTTAACAATTCTACCTCTTTTTCATTAAGTCGATTACTGCAAACACAACATGGTTTAAAAAATCTTTTATGTCATTGACGGAATACTCTACCGCCCCATTTGCTGATCTGCCTGAAACCGGTAATTTTTGTTTTAATAACATAGCAACATCTTCGCCGAATTTGTAGCGAACGAATAAATTTTTTTATCATTTTCTACGTCTAAAATATCATCTTTATCTTCTAGACCTCTCAATTCCAATTTTTGCACCTTTCAAGTGTTCAAAATCGATTTGGTATAAATAATAACATCTTTAATTGAACCATCTTTAAATAATTTCTTTTTTTAAATCTTGGTAAGAGAAAAAGTATTTTATTAACACGTTTGATATCACCGCCGTATATATGCGGCGTCCCGATTCTTGTATCTGAGCCCACCGCCGCAGATGTGCGGTGTATGTTCTTTATCAGTTTATGATAACATATTGCAATAAATTTGGAAATGAACAGTATTGTTGAACTAAAAAACAATAAAATAAATATAGGATGTCCTTGGTCTAGAGATAATTACATTTTTATGTTATAAATATATTCTAAAAAGACCCATGTCAATTGGAGATATATTCTAACAAAAAACACCCTGAGCTGTGGTGCAAGATTTTCCTCTCAGATCCTGGTAGCAAACATGTTAAACTAAAATCGCTTTTATCTGCTAATAAATTACGTGCTATGATTTTTATAGATTCATCTAATCTATGTTTAGCTTGCAAAAAACGATATATCTTTTTATCATGGATATATTCAAGCATTAAATCATCAAACTTTTCAGCTTCTTTAATTTCTGTACCTAAGCGAAAAGAATATTTATGAGAGACTCCACGATACAAGAATAGCATTATTATCTTTAATTAATAAATATTATCGGAATCAATTCAATGAATCGGATTTACTCATTTTTCTTGCTTGCATCGGGTATCTATGCCATCGGAATTCTTACCTTCTTGTCAAAATTGACCTTATTGTCTTGATATTATAGATATCTGGTTAATATCTTCATCCAAAAGCTGTGAGACTTGACCTGCTTCAAGTTCAACCTACCATGACCAAACCATATTCATTTAACAATTTTTCGTATTAAGATTATATGTGTGGTTTTGTACTTAATGAAATTACTAAGACTTTAATAATAATTTGTCTAATAATATGTTTAGCAATATCTATTGGAATTTCATATTTATTGCTTTTAATTTTAATAATCGCCTCTCCACTTTGAAAAAATTTATTAACTTTTAAATTATCGTTCCCGTTTGCCCTGTATGTAAGGGTATATCACTACCCCTGTCTTTTGAGTTAATGCTCATTTCTTTTTCAATAAGGCAATCCGTCTCTTCTTAATCACTTTCACTTGCTACAACAAATAAGTTTTTATTGCTAACTCTTCTTGCTCACTTCCTATCTTCTGTTTGTTTGCGTTTGCACGAGCAATGAGAAAAAAGAATTTGGTGATTTACTCGAATTCCAACTCTGTCAATTCATAAGCAAGATATATTAGGTGATAAACTTAATTCCTGACGCTATTTCGTCTCCAAAATTAATTTATTTCGAAGGGAAGATAAATAAATACCTTAATCAAAATAATTTCCTCCATTTTCTATTACCTTTTCCCAGCTCTCCGGCAACAGGACAATCCCACGACGATAGAACGCGGTGTCTCTCGAGGTGATCCATTCATCCATCCATTTTTAAACTTCTTCGTAAATGAAGAAGCGTGTGTCTGTAAGTGCGTGTTCCATCGACTGGAAGAGATAGTAATCCTACGGTGCCATGTCTGAAAAGTACGCTGAATGCAAGAGGATTTCCCATTTATACTGTAGAAGTGTCTGCTTTACGCTTTTCGCAACATGCGGTCAAACGTTATCATGAAAAAAGAATGACTTTGCGTTGATTGTTGGTTACGGATGGTCTTTTCTGCATTAACTCGTCACTCAATCGGCATAATTGCTATTGGTAGCGATCAGCTGAAACGGTTTCGTATGGACGCGAGAGCTCATAATACAGTACACCGTCCTAGTTCCACCAAATGCAGAGCAAAGTCTTATGCCAATGAATATTCCTTTTCGGCGTTGAGATGGATAGTTGGTCGAGATCGGCCCATGATTTCCTCCGCTTGGGATTATCAAAATAAATCCATTTTTCATCGCTAGTCACGATACGCCACAAAAAACTCTTTTCTATGCCTGACAAGCAAAGAAGTCGCGATAGACAAACGATTCAAAACGGCATTTTCTAACAACTCATATGGTAACCATATCCCTTCTTTATGAATTTTTCCCATGACATTTTGAGATGGCCATTAGAGTAACATTTAACGCTTTCGACAACTCTAAAAGCGTTGAGCTGAATTCTCATCGAACAATTCTTACAGCTCGACATCTTCAAATTTTTCCGACTGTCCGGAACGTTCTTTGTCTCTCAAGTCAAAATCGCCTTTTCGAAAGCGTTCAAACTAAATGCTACATGTTCTTTCCGATGGAGTTTCATCATCATACACTTCGGATAATAAGCGATGCGTTTCAGCTGCGGTTTTCTTGAGGTCGAAGTAGTGAAGAAGCACATCTCGGAAAAACAGATTATCGCGGTTCATTTTCAATCGACTGGAAAATTTGTTTGTCATCGAAAAATCTAATCTGTGAGGATTGAATCACTTTCAGTAATGTCTAAACTACACAAAACATGCGACTTCATCGTCGAAACTCGCCAGCGTTGGAGCCGGCACTTCTAATAGCGAGCGGCAGGAATTAAGTTTACCAACTAATATTTCACATACAACACAAATCATATACACTTCAGCTTCCCAATGGTCCCAATGAGCAACGTTGCGACATGCAAGTTACGCGACGCAGAGCAAGAAAAAAAAGAAACTAAACGTATAGATCATAATTTTGCGATTGACCTGTGAGAAATGGTGTTTGCATTTCTTAAAAATAGGAACTGTCTCTCCTGGCTATATACGCTTTTTATATTACGCACGCTTTTTATATTATTTTTCCGAAAAATTCTCTCGCATGTCTCAGTTCCTGTATTTGTAAGAAAAGATAGTAGTAAACATTCCAGAAAGACAAGCTGTTTCTACATCTGCGTTTCTACTACACCGCGTTGCCGATGACGTCAGTCCACATTGATAACGTGCAAGAATAAGTGTTAAATTTTTGCCTTACTAAAATGTATGTGATGAGTCTATTTCATACTAAAATTAAAACAGTGATTAGCAATGACCCCTAAGCAAAATATGTTGTTAACTTATAAATTATTTATTTAAAATATTGTTATCAAAATTTATAATTCATTATTTTTTATTATTATTCATTATTATTATTCATTAGTATTTATCTATTTCTATTTAGCAGATATACCTTGCGCAGAGGTCTATGCTAATCTTCAACGTTTCAATTTTAATATAAGATATAAGATTCATCGCAATTACTTGAGTAAAGTGAAAGATTTCAGTTCCATGAGTAAAATAAAAACTAAATTTATCATATTTAAATATATAAAATATATTTAAGTGTATAAAAATATACATAAATATGTATACATATATATTTATTAAATATATTTATATATTTGTACACATGTTACACACACACTCACACACAGCAGAAAGGATTTAGAGTCAGAAAATACTATGGGACTGACGAACCGTGGAGTCCTTATACCTATTTTGGGTAATATTAGTGCCGGCAGTACTGCAACACTCAAACCTTATAACTCGAAAAGTACTTAATACAAAAATATTTTATAGCAGTGCTTTGAAAAGCTCTTGAGGTAAGCTATAAGATTATAAAAAATAGAGACAATAAAAGTAGAGATTTCTATTTAAGAAATTGAAAGTGACCTTCATGTGACCTCCAAAAGGTGACTATCAAAGGTCAAACCAATGACACTATCTTATATCCCCCTCTAAATCATATAACTTTTGTCTGAAATATTTTTTTCTAAAACGCACTGTTTAAGAGAAAATTTAGTGCGCCAATGAAAATGAAACACCCAGTATATGTACAGTGGCGGACATATACTTACGTACGGTTAGGAAAATTAAGTTTAATTCGTTGTGTACTTATACACGAAACAGTTAAACAAAAGTCCAATACGTCTTTTACTAGTTTATAGCATATATTATGAGATAGCAAAACAGTGTTTATTGATTTACAATAACTAAGAAGTTTCTTGTGTTTGTTTACTCAAGTGTCATATTTCTTGCGGGCACGTACTTACGTACACTGTGGTAATACATAGATAGGTCAAAATTTCTGCAATATAATCAATACTTATCAGTATCTACTGAGTAATGTAAGTAGAGAGATGTGTTGTGACAACTGTGATGAGCAAACGAAAGAATATAACGCTAGAACAATGTCGGCAAATACAGCAGCTTCGCAAAAATGGAAAGTCTTATCGGAAGATTTCTACAGAGCTTGGGATATCTGTTATGGCTTGTTATCAAGCTATACAACATATTAAACATCATGGAACGCCAGATAATGTTCCTCATAAAGCGAGACTACGAGAAACAGTGAGACCACGCTATATTTCGGGTCATAATTTGCTTAATAGATCCATTCTTTCGGCATATATTCTTCAGCAAATGGAAGCAGTACATTTTCTATGATGTTCAAATATGTAAATCTGTCCATGATTCCTTTTATTCGATGAATAGGATCTGTACCATCAATAGTCATAGAACCTCATATGCCACCCCCTTTTACAGGTGGTTTTATACAATTCTTGCGATATTCTTCACCTATGCAACGTCTTACATATACTTTACCATCAGATCCGAGTCGATTAAACTTAGATTCGTCAGTAAAAATAACTCGAGACCATTGTTGTTACGTCCAGTTTAAATGTTCCTTTGCAAAAGCTATTCTAACTCGATGGTTCTTTTCTGATATGAATGGTTTCTTTCTAGCAACGCGTCCATGTAATTGAAATTCATTCAATCTACGTCGGACAGTTCTAACACTTATATTTTTATCAAGATCTAATGATATTTTAGCGTGAATATCAACTGCAGTTTTAAATCTATCTGATTCAGATCATCGATGAATCTTACGATCAGTTCTTATGTCGGTTTTTCGTGGTCTTGCTTTTACGAGGAACATTATCTGGCGTTCCATGACGTTTAATATTATCTGTCCATGATTCCTTTTATATTTAATATGTTGTATAGCTTGATAACAAGCCATAACAGATATCCCAAGCTTCGTAGAAATCTTCCGATAAGACTTTCCATTTTTGCGAAGCTGCTGTATTTGCCGACATTGTTCTAGCATTATATTCTTTTGTTTGCTCATCACAGTGCCAAACTATTGCAACAATATCGAAAAAATAGTTTTTTTTAATGTAGTTTTTCCTTTATACATTTTGGCACTGTTTGCTTGTCACAACACTGTCACAACACGTCTCTCTACTTACTCGGTAGATATTGATAAGTATTGTTTACATTGCAGAAATTTTGACCTATCTGTGTATTACCACAGTGTACGTAAGTACATATCCGCAGAAAATATAACACTTGAGTAAACAAACACAAGAAACTTCTTAGTTATTGTAAATCGATAAAGACTGTTTTGCTATCTCATAATATATGCTACTTATGAAAAACTTATAAAAAAACATAATGGACTTTTGTTTAACTATTTCATACATAAGTACACAACGAATAAAACTTAATTTTCCTAACTGTACGTAAGTATATGTCCGCCACTGTATATCTGAGCGCCCGCGACCACAGATTTTTGTATAATATACTAGACTATGAACTGACTGTGAAATGTACCCAGTTTTTATGTACAAAATTTTTGTATAAGTTAGAACATATATGTTATATAAGCTGATTCGGAATGCGGCTTTTCGTTAGCATCATAAGTTAAAATATAAAATATTTATGAAATTGAAGAAATGTAAAACAAATTTGATGAAAAATTGATATAAAATATTGAAAATTACAATAAATGCAACAATATCGAAAAAATAGTTTTTTTTAATGTAGTTTTTCCTTTATACATTTTGGCACTTATTTATTATGCATTTTTAAGGTATGTTGACTTCTTATATTTTAATGCACTGTAATTTCGTTCGTTTTCCAAGTTATATACTTAGTTCAAAAGTAACAAAATGCTGTCTAATTTAAATAAAATTATATATCTAAGGTGCGTTCGAGGAAAGGCTATTAGCACTATTTAGCGCTAAAAGCTGCCCACGAGGCTAAAGAATAGTGCTACCAAAGCAATCATAAAGTCACCAGTGGTAATGTGCACGTCATAACTGCGCGCTACTAACACTATTCCTTCCGAGATAGTGTAATGATAGCGTTAGCGTTTGCAAGCTCCATGAGCACTCAGAACTGCACAACATTGCATGTTATAACTTCTGCACATGAATATCGTACAATACGAGTACAACGTATTTATTTATTTCATATTATTTTACTATTATTCACGTACGTAGACAGTTGTGTGGAAACAAAGCTTCGGTATGTTGAAACTGAAAACGAATTTAAACTGCGATATTTGATCTAATCTAAAAAAAGTTTAACCTAACTCGAGGCAAAATAGATGAAAATGCAAAACGACAGTCCTTAATCCTATTGTCCGCATCCGGACATGGTGACCTCTCTTACCAGGTGTAGAAGTATGAAACCGGAATTTTTTTTTAAATTACACGTCTGTTGTTTGAAAATGATAAAAAATATTTTATTCAAAATAAATAATGTCCATTGCTATTTATACATTTTTCCCACCTCTCCGGCAGTTTATGAATGCCACGCCAAAAAAACATTTCTTCTTTTGAAGCGAACCAGCTATCGAGCCATTTTCGCACATTTTCATACGAATTGAAGCGTTGTTCAGCGAGAGCGTGTCCCATTGATGCGAATAGATGATAACCGGACGGAGCCAAGTCTGGAGAATAAGCCGCATGCGTTAGTATTTCCCAACTGAACGCCTCGATCGTTTGCCTGACCCGTTTTGCTGTGTGTGATGGGGCATTATCATGGAGCAAAATGACTTTGTATTGCCTTTTTCCATATTCCGGTCGTTTTTCACGCGATTTAAATCGATCATTTGCTGTTGGTAGGGATCAGTGTTGACGGTTTCACCAGGTTTTAGCAGCTCATAATAGATTACACCCTTCTGATCCCACCAAACACAGAGCATTGTCTTCTTTCCAAAGCGATTGCAGTGGATGTCGATGGTTCGCCTGGATTCACCCATGATTTCTGACGCTTAGGATTCTCAAAATATATCCATTTTTCATCACCTGTCATGATACGATGGACTTTCTTTTGTATCTGTCGAGCAGCATTTCACAAGTGGTTTTTCGATTTTCTTGCTGTCTTTCATTCAGTTCATGCGGAACCCATTTTCCCACTTTCTGAATCTTTCCCATGGCTTTCAAACGAATTGAGACAGCTTTCTGCGTCACATTCAATTCATCCGCGAGTTCTTGTTGAGTTTGAGTATCATCTTCATCCAATAAGGCTTGCAATTCGTTGTCTGCGAACTTTTTCGGTGGTTTCCCACGCTCTTCGTTTCTCACGTCAAAATCACCACTTTTGAATTTTTTTAACCATTCGGAATATTGTGTTTTACCAAGAGCATGTTCACCGTAAGCTTCGACAAGCATTCGAATGCGATTCTGCAGCAGTTTTCTTCAAATGATAACAAAAAACCAATGCTGTCCGCAAATCGTAGTTCGTAGACGCAAAGCTCGACATGTTTAAGGTTATAGAAAAATATACCGGTGTATGGAACTTGGGTTGTTGTGTGTTGAAAATCTTCGTCAGCTGTTAGAGGGAGATTATGGCGCTGCAGAAGCGGTCTTACGGTCCCTAAACTGATGGCTAGCACCATCTATAGGGAAATTCCGGTTTCATACTTCTACACCTGGTATATGCCTGTGATATGCACGCTGATCATACAGGCATATGGGATCTACAGTTTAACGCTGGTTCCAAATGGCATATTATTTAGAGAGGTTCTCTTGGCAAAGATACTCTCAATTGAGTTGCCACTTCTTTCCAAGAGGAGACACAAGCGTAAATATTTTGATTTCTACCGGGATCGAACTTGGGACCACTAATATAGACTAGTTCTAGACGTTGTCTGCTATGCCACGCTCGTGCTCAGTATAACGCAGTATAAAGCCTATATCAGACTACGGATTGGGAATTGAGATTGAATTGAATTTAGCCAATCAGTGTAAAGTTAATTAAACTTAGGTAACTTTAGTAAAATTTAGTGAATTCTACACT